ATATGTATATATATATATATATATATATATATACAAATCCATATATTACATGTAGTGAACTTTAAATGAAAGGTGGTGTACCACACAACAACTCATTGTGTAATTAATTTTCCTCAGTGCTGGTTTTGAGATTTATCAATGTTGACAAATGTTCTTGGATTCACTCACTTCAACCAAAGCTCAGTGTCTCACTGTATAACCAATTTAATAATTTCCTGTTATTAAACATTATTCTCTTTTTTACTCTTACAAAAGAGACCATGGTGAGTTCTCTCACCCAGAGTTCTTTATGCATTCATGTGAAAGGTTTCACAAGAAAAGTAATTAGGATGTCTGAATTACTGGGTTACTGGGACTATGAATCTTTAGCTACACCAGATAATCTCATCCAACTTATTTCCCTTAAACAGCATTAATTAATACAAGTTCCAGTATACACACGAGAGTTCACCTTTACAAGACATTGTCAAATCTTTCACACATTTTGGCCAATCTGACATTTTCTTTGATATTCTCTTACTATTCCTTTCCTGAATCTCACTGCTATTCAGAATCTTTTAATTTTTTTTCAGTAATCTGCTGTTCTAAGATTTGATATTTTTTTAAATACAAAAATCCTAATTTGCCAATCAATACTGCACATTTCTCAAGGCAAAGAGAAAGGAAAGGTTCTGATAAGAACTACATTCACCTTCATCCAGAGACCCATGATTTCATTCCTATGAGCATTAGAACATGCACTCACAGAAGGACGACTAGCTAACATTCGCCTTTGTGCTTCCCTAGGATGGAGCACTTGAACTCTGGACTTGGAACTTCTGATTGCCCAAGAGGGAGTGGACCAACGCTGGCTGCCAGGCTTACATGCCCGAGGCAACAGAGATTCACTCGGCAAACACTGTACTAAGTGCAGATCAACACAGATAAGTGCTCTACCAGTTGTGCAATGGTCCAGCACAATCTGGCCTGGAGGAGGCCTCCAGAATCAAGGGAATTATCCACCAAGAACTCAGCCCCAGTTCACTCACACAGTTAAGATGCTGAGAAATTGGTATCAAAAGTTTTCATAACACAGAAACAAACTGGACTGATAGTTCTGAGAAAGAAAATATTGGCTAAAAGTTTGAAGGAAGCAGTATCTGTTGGCAGATCCTACATAAAAGAAAAACTGCATTTGTGTGTTTTTATATCAGGTCTGAAGAATGTCCGCACCCTTAATTCAGGACTGCTTCTGCTCTCCACTACCTGCAAACAGACGCTTGTCTGTACGGTGCCGTAACTCAAATATAATTTGGAAATAATTTAGAAAAGAATTCACATTAAGGAAATAACATTCTTATTTATCTTAAAGTAAGCATGTAGATGTTTTTTCCTCTGTCTTAATCACTTTTCTTGTCACTAAGACACAATACCCACAACTTAAAGGAGGAAAGGTTTATTTTGACTCACATTTCAGAAATTTCAGTCTTTGCATGGTCAGCAGCATGGTGAAAGGGCCTGGGGAGGGGAAAGCTGCTGATGTCACAGCATCCAGGAAGCACAGGGCAAAGGGAGGAAGTTGAGAACAAAATACACCCTATCAGGCAGGCCATGCCCACCCCCTCACCCCGTATTTGCCTCTTCAAATCAGAACCCATCTCCTAATACTACATTTAACTACGGTGCCCCCATGATTCAATCACCTTTAAAAAGCCCCACCTACCAGTATGAACACCTGAGGCTTTGGGGGACATCAGATATAAACCATAACATTTTACCTCTGGCCCCCAAAAGACTCATATACATCTCTTTATGAAAAGCAGTCCATCACTAAAAGTTGCCAAGGTCCTAATAGTTCCAGCTTTGCTGAAAATTCCAAGTTCAAAGTCTCCTGATATTTAAAGCAAACTTTTAGCTGTGAGCCCCAGCAGAAATTAAAGATAAAGTTAAAACCTGACACTGTACAATGGCACAGGGTAAAGATTCCTATTGAAGAGGAACAAGAAGCCAGAAAGAAATCAAATCAAAGCAATACCAAAATCCAATCAATACCAGAAGCATTAAATCATATAGAACTGTGTCCAGTATGCAGCACAAGTTGCAGTGAGATGTGAACACCAAATGGCTTGAATAGCTTTACTCCTATAGCATTGCAGTGGTTGGTTATAATCGTCAAGGGTTCTCTCGTTTGAGGTCTTTGCTTACAACCTGCACTTTCCTCATATTCCACATTCCAGGCTTCTCTGACTTTTTAGTCAACTTCATTCTCAAGCTTCACACACTGCACTCTCAGGGGCATATTGCCTGAAATCTAAGTGGAAGTCCCCACAACTCTTGCATTCTGCAAGCCTGTAAGACCAGCACCACATAGATGACACCAAGGCCTGACACCAGCTCCAGAAGTAGCTATCCCCTTTGCTTCATGGCTGTAGAGACCTCTGACTATCAGAGTTCTGTGAACCAAATCACCAAGAAACCAATTTCTCCAGCAAGGTACCCTAGGACTCTCTTCTCAAAGCAAAGTCTTTCATTTTTATACCACTTAGCCTGTCCAGTGGGTGGGGTCTTTCTGATTCCTCATATGCCCTCAAGACGTGTTTCCTATTGTAATGTTGATGTAAATAACTTAGCTTCTTTTTAAAGCTAATCATTTTAGCAACCAAGCTCTCCTCTGCTCGAACTTTGGAAAAACTTTTAAAATAGGCTTTTCACTTCTGGTTTTCAGTATACACATGGCTAAAAGCCCAATACAGTACTTTGTCACAACCCTAACAATGGGCTGCCCTGAAATCTCCTCCACCAGATTAATTAGTCCACCAAACTTAATCTCGGTCTTCTATAAAGTCTTAGGACATGAACAAAATTTAGACAAATTTTCTGCTAGAGCATAATACATACTGTTTTGAGACTAACTGCCAGTGGAATCCTTGTTCCCCACTGAAACCTCTTAAGCCATCTTACTGTCTGCCTTTTTAACCAACATTCTCGTCTTCTGACAAAACTGAAGTCTGATCAGAAATCTCCCATCAAGCTCAGTTTATAGCATTCCAAAGGCTTCTTTAGCCAGTATCTCCAAACCTTTAAAAAATTTCTGCAAACCAGTGTCAAAGGCTTCTAAGGCTTCTGAACCACATAGTCAGATATAGTCATAGAAACAACCACAGGTCCATTAAGAAAATCTGTTGGTCATTTTTCTCATCGCTGGGACATAACACCTGACACCCACAACTTAAAGAAGAAGAGTTTTACTTTGGCTCATGTTAAAATCCTTGCATGGTCTGTGACATGGTGGAAGGGATTGGGTAGAGGAAAGTTGCTCAGATTGTGGCAGCCAGGAAGCAGAGCACAGAGGGCAGACTGTAGAAGGAGATATACCCTCCAGGTGACAACTCCAGGGACCTCTTCCGACCAGGCTTCACCTCCTAGCAGCACATTTACCTGTAGCATTCCTAAGAGTCACTCCATAGGACCTGCCAAGATTGTGAGCATTTATGGAAGTGGAAATATAAAATGCTCTCATCCACCATAAATGTTTCATTCCTCTTCCTAGCAGTCACAAGTTATTTCAAAATTATAAATTTCCTGTCAGAACAAGTCAGACTAACACAGAAAAATGCCAGAACAAAGAAAAAAAGCAATCAATAGCACAAATAGGGAGAAAAGGGTGAAAGAGGAACAGCAATAATCCCAGAAAATTGAAGACTGAACGAGCCCACCCACATATGCATGGGAGGGTGCAGAACCTCAACGCTGACAAGGTTTGTGGGGGGAGGACACCAGCAAACCAAGGTCAAAAGCCAGACAGAAGTGGAGTCACGGTCATTGCTACAGAGCCCTGAGTAGGCCTGTAAGTGGTGCACCACGATAACCCCAGCACTTTCAGAGGCTGAAGCAGGAAGATCACAAGACTGAGCATAGCAAGGGTAACCCAGTGAGATTCTATCTTAAAATAAATAAAAATGACTGGGAATACAGCTCAGTGCAAAGACCCTGGGTTCAATTCCCAGAATGGTGGGGAAACACACACACACACACACACACACACACACACTCACACACACACACTGTATATAATCTCCAAAAGTTCAGGAAAGATGCAGATTACCAAAGCTAACCAGAAGGCAGTTTCCATCTATGGGAAGGGGCACAGCACTGAGCTCTAAAGTGTCTTTTTCCTTTGGAATAAGCATTCTGAACAGGAAAGGAAAAAGAGCCACCCAGTTTTGGAAGTCTAAGGAGCCTGAATATCCTTCACTGATTTTTAGAAGTTAGCTGTAGCATACACACACACATTAATGATAACCCGACTTACAGGGGGTCAGGAGCAAGTGGTCCATGTGGCACCAGGTCTGTTGAGCAATCTCAAATCTGGAAGGCAGAGACCTGCCTATGGCCCAGCTTCTGACACAGCACCCCACAAATAGCAAAGCTAACTCAAGTTCTGGACAGCAGAAGACAGGAGGGAGACAATAACAACATATACATCGGGCTTTCTAACATTGTATCTAACTTGTCAGTAACATGATCCTACATTATTGTAACATTTACATTTCAAAGAAATCCTGGTATTTTAAATAATTTCAAAGACAACCATATAATGTCATTGTCATTTTTCAAGGGAGAAAGGAGAGGTGACAGAGACCAGTTCTCTGCAAGTCACACAGTTCGTAGCTTAATTCTCAGTGCTCTATGCCACATTTCCAATAAAAGCAATGGTTCCACCCATCTATGATGTCAAGACACTTTTCTCAACTTCTTCAACCATAATCTTAACATTCCCAAATTTTCCTTACATGTGCAACAAATGAAAATAAAACAGGGAAAAAGAAAGAAGTTTCAGTGCTTCACAAAACCCTCAAGACTTTGTGCATAAAGTGGGTGCTTTAGGAAAAAGTTTCAAGAGACAAAAGTGCCATACCTGCTTTATCTCTCCAATATGGATGTGTTCTTTTTGCTTCTCTTCATATAAACATCTCAGAAAAGAAATGATCAATTCGTTCTCTCGCTGCTCATTTCTTGGTCTCAATTTCTTTTAAAAATAAAAAATAAGCAATATTACATTTTTTAAAATTGTCGACAAAATTGCTAAACCACCTTTGGAGGTGCTACCAGCTTCTACCTAATATCTACCGTAGTGCCTTTTACCCAGTTCTCCCACTAGGGGGCATTAATGATCCTAACAGTGAAGATGATTTATTAAAAAGGAAACTGGAGTATGGGCTAAATTTATTTTTCGTCCTTTTATCTAAAATAAATTTTTAACATCAGATGAAGGCAATCAAAACATTTAATAAACAGTTTTTAAAACAGAAGAAAGAATCAAAATCTATGTAAACCATCCGAGGTCAGGAGTCAAATTAAGCACACATCTTATTAGCTCTCACGGTTAGCAAACTAGAAAGGAAGAGCAACTGGGTTCAGGGTTGTGGTTTCACATGTCAGATTGTTCATCAGGAAGGACTCTGTGGGATCCCCATGATATAAAATTCCACAGCTGGGTCCCCCACCACCCTCTCCCCTTCCACCCGCCCACTTCCTCCTTCTTTAAATCCTCTCTATGCCTTTTGATTTTTCAACAGGGCAGCAGCAAAGCATACTGGACTAGAAATCAAGACAAGTACGATCTTGTTGTTGAGCAAAACCAGGTAGGTTATCTCAGCTCCCTCCTCTGTTAAAAGGAGGATGTGCACAAATAAATTCCACAGTATCGAGCTTCCAAATTTGCTGGATTTGAAATATCAGTCAAGGTCCATGTCTGTAAGGTCATCTAATTTAACATAGTATTTTGTCTGAATGTGAAGGAAACAACAAATTACTCTGGAGATACACGATGATCTAGTCCATAAACTTCTGAAGTAACTGAAGAATTCTCATTACCCTGTATTTTTCTCTCCTTAACTCTAAACTTCCAGCCTGCCCTTTAACACTGAGTCAGGCTGTAGCAAATAGGTCAACGGTTCAAGGTGGCAACCACCTTCTCCAGCCAGGTGAGGAACAGTGGTATAACCCTTCATGTCACAAGCAGCAGAAGCAAAGGGGCCCTAATCCAGAACCTGGGACAAGCCCATCTCTGAGAGAATCATTTAGAAGGCAAGCTGTTCCTGTTACTCAAGGAAAGGACAGTCTACCATCAGGAGAGTTTCTGTTCACTAAGGACTTCCTCCTCTTTTTCAAATGTTTTACACGTCAAGCAGACTTTCTCAACTTGAACTCTCGGCTATGGATCTTGATGTCACAAGATTTCTCGTCACAGGCAACATCTGAATTTTCTTCTAGAGTGGATTTCCATGAGATCCTCAAAAAAGGAAAATGGTATTCAAATACCACAATTTCAGCTTAAGGAATAGCTCTCAAGGTTATAGGTATAGAGTCCACATGTCCACAAAACAACAGGAAATCTCATTCATTCACTGCCAGTGGGAATGCAAAATGGTGCAGCCACTGTGGAAAAGAGTTCAGCAGATTCTGACTCTTACCAAAGGACCCAGCAGTCCCTGGCATTTACCCAAATGAACTGAAAACATATGTGCATAAATAAACCTACACATGGATGTTTACAACAGCTTTATGTATAACTGTCAAAACCCACAAGCAACCAAGATGTCCTTCAACAGGTGAATGGATAAACAAGCTGTGGTACATGCACAGAATGGGATGTTATTCAGCACTAAAAGAAACGAGCTACCGTATCAAGTCATGAAAAGACATTAGGGAACCTTCAGTGCTTATGATGATTTCAACTATTCTGCATGGTGGATCCATGACATTATGGTGCACTGTCCAAACCCCTACAAGGAACCTGAATGTAAACTGGAGACTGGTAAACATTAATGTAGCAAGTGTACAACTGTAGCTGTCAATTGTAACAAATGTATACTACTGTGAGTTGTTACATTATCAATAGGGGGAAAGTGTGGAGTAAAAGGCAGTGAAAAGTTACTTTCCACCTAACTTTTCTGTAAACTGTAAACAACTGTTCAGAAGCTACAGATTTAGCTCAGTGGTAAAGTGCTTGCACAGCACGCACAAGGCCCTGGGTTTTATCCCCAGCACCGAAACAAACAAACAAATAAAACAACTACTTAAAAAAATGGAGCGGTGGGAGTAGTCCAAGGAAGCTGATGGGAATCCAGGCCTCCAAGCCCCTACAAAAGCAGCATCTGCAAGTTCACCCATTCTTTCCTCTCCTGTGTTTTTAAACCTTGGGGGTACTTTCACAGGAAATGTGGTTTGCTTGGAAAACTTCTTCATGATTGTTTATTTCATGCAGTAAGCATGCAATATGTAAGAGGAGTGCTAATACATTGTCCCTCAATTTATACATGAAACAAACTATTCACAGAGTCAGCAAATGAGCTGAGAGAGCACAGTACATTGCCATCATTGGCACCCATTAAAAATTGAGGCCATGAACCAGAATTTGCAAACCCAGAGCTCATTGCACAACAGGAAGTCACTAAAGCAGCAAAATGCATGTCTGTGGTGTTAAAAGGTCAGTAAAGGTTTCCTCAAAATAATTCTGAAACATGATGAAAGGCTACACCCCAATTCAGCTGGGTGACTTTGCCATTAACGTGGCAAATCTCTATTTCTTCAAGTTGACTAAGTTTTATAAACATTTGTTAATCAAAGAGACAAATCCAAGGAAAATAATGGTAAATTAAGTGTATAGCATCACTTGTAGTAAAAAATGAACTTGTCCGTACAAAATTATGTCCCAAGTAAGAACAGTTTTCACCCTAGGCAGTGATGTGGGAGGCTTCCTCACGCCAACCAGAAAGGCCCTATTTCTTTATCTTGGTGTTGGCTGCACAGGTATCCTCACCTTGTAAGAACTTGCTGAACTAGGCTCCAAATGGTGGTGTATGCTAGTAATTCCAGATCTCTGAGAGGCTGAAGCAAGAGGGTCAAAAATCCAGGCCCAGGGGCCAGGGATTTAGCTCAGTGGTGCTGTCTGCCTAGCAAACGCAAGGTCCTGAGTTAGATTCCTGGTACAAAAAACAACACAAAAACAAAAACAAAACCCCCAAAACAAATTCAAGCCCCACCCGGGCAAAGGGCAATTAGTGACTTAACCAGACCCTGATTCAAAAACAACTAAAAATTAAAATTTTCAATCTCCAGTACTGAAAAGAAAAAGAAAAAGAAAATCACTGAACTTGATTTATGTGCTTTTCTATAGGTATAATTCAATAAAAAAATCCAAAACAACTAATTGCCTTTCAAAGGGAACAAAACTAATTTTGTTATGTTTCTTAACCTAATTTCTAGAAGGGGCTCATGAAGTTGTGTAAAGGTAACTGAAAAATAAATTTACTCCACTGATGATGAATATCAAAGGGCTGAAAGTCTACGGTGTAACCAGGAAATCACTTAAAAAGACAACACTCACTTGAACACTATATTCTGATACGTTTTTTTTTAAAAAACTTTAACCATGTCTTACATAAGAATAGTTTCTAAACCACGGAACCAAGCTGATATAGTTTTTACAAAGGATCTTCTGAAAGAAGGATCTTCTGAGCACTAATCCTTATCTTGTGAATAATCATGCTATTCAATGAATTACTAATGTCTACTCTTTTTCAAACCAGCCTTACTTCAGCTTGAGAGTAGGTTTGGCCCTGGGCCAGCAGAGGAGCGGTAGGAGAAGGGAGCAAGGACCCGGCTGGGTCATCTGCATACATGTACACCTACACGTAAGTGTGAGAATTACACACTTCTGACAATGCACCAATAAAAAGGAGGTTCTGCAGTGAGTCCTCTTGTGAAGAGAGGGCTAAGCAGGGCTGCACATCCACCGGGTGTCATGTCCTTAGGGTGCTCAGATCAGTGGTCACCTCCTGCACCATTCACAGTTATTACCGGATTTCTTTTTACTAAGTAATCATGCACCATTAATTTCAATAGCAGTTACATTTGCCTTACAAGAATTTGCCTTAAGGGAGTTTTTCAGAAACAAATTACCCTCCAAGAAAGAATGCAAAGAAAAATATTTACCATTCTATTATAAAAGGACTCATAAAACAGCAAGTCATGTTTTTATGGCCTCTTTAAAATGTGTGGTTTTCAAACACATAAGCAGACGAGCTACCTAAAAAGAAATTGATGACCCGATTCAGAAAACATCTTAGAAAAACCAAGATTGGTTATGAGGAGGTAATTCAGCAGGTCTGTCAATGGCCGCTGGAAGAGCAGGGACCATTGTGAATGCTTCAAGGGAGAGGTAACTTAGGACGGATAACAAAGTATATACAGGTTCTGCAAAGCCAAGGAACGATTATTATTTCTTTTCTGGTTCAGAGAAAAAACTAACAAAGCAGAGATGTCTAGAACAAAACAATGAGCCCTGGGACATTTAACTGCTTTTTTTTTTTTTTTAAGCAAAATGTTGTCATTTGCTTTTTTCTAAAGTCTCTTTGCCATGTGTGTTAGTGTCTAAAAACCCATGGAAGAGACAGGCTCTTAGAGTCCTAGCTGTTAGAACTCCTCTCTGCAGCTGTGTGGTGTACACCTATCCTGAGCCGCTGCATGCCTCAGGAAAGTTACAGGCAGCATGTAAATGACAGCGGAAAGACACATAGGAAAGGGGGTGCATCTCTCCGTGCCTCACTAGCTCCACACCGGGGAGAGGATCAGCACCCAGCACTATGGCTTTGGCTGTAAATGAATTAACAATCAGAAGCAACTTGTTCACTCCTTATACCAAGTACAAATCACATTATAGTTGTCTAAGAGACCAAAGATGTCTAAAGAACCTTTAAGAAAAGACAAGGCACTGAGTGCAGAGTTGATTCAGAAAATAAGAGAACATAAAATCAATTGAAAATTGTGAAAATTACCCTCTGGTCCAGTGACAGTGAACCTTTCAGAGCTTTCAATGATAACAGCCTGCTGCGCTACACATGCCACCGGTTTGCCACCACTGCTCTAGTCAGATTGCGCAATTTTTAAAAATCCTCCTGTGCTTTCTATCTACAAATACATTCCAGTCTTACTGCACAGGAACAAAGGAGTGAGAGACGTACTCTAACATGAGTCTAAAGACAAAAGGATAAATCCTTTATTTTTTTTTTTTTTTAACACAAACAGAAAACAGATCTTGGGCCTCTGGCTAGTCTTTTCCTAGTGAGGGGGCAGAGGGAACTCAATCCACACAGCTGCCAGCCTTGTTTTGTTTAACCACTCCTTTGTGTATGGATCTGCTGGTCACCAGCACACCACCCCTCAAAAAGAAGAGAGATTTATTCTTTATTCTGATATGCTCTCTTTCCTAGAAAAGTACCAGAGAACCACAGAAAATGCCCCTGGGTGAAAACAGACACGCAATTTGTGATGAGCTCATTAAAGATTCATGATGAACAGACTCTGGGCATGCCAGCACCCATGGCACGGTTTCCTTATCATACGCAGCGGCTCAACACAAGCTGCTTCTGAAGTCTAAGGCAGAAAGCTGAGGAACCTGTTCTTGGTGGTGGTGATGGTGGTTGCTGCTTTTTCCTAAATTTGGTAGGTTATATGGTTCTAAGCATGCAATGTGACCTAAATTGATATTCCAAACTAAAAATTAAAAAAAAATTAAAAAGGCAGGAGTTAGAACTGTGTTCATATGCATGCCCAAATGGATTCAGATGTCTCACGTGACTCCCACGCTGCAGGCTGAAATCCCAAACTGGAAGGGCAGAGGCGAACATACTGACCAGAGTCCAGGTCTTCTATCTCAGTTTCCTTGCTCTGATATTTTTAAGAGGATGAAAACTCTGTATCCCTCACTCTGACAATGAAAGCCAACAGTTGACAGAAATGGGGTCCTGCAGTTCTCAACTGACCCTATGAGGGGACTCTTAACAATGACACTGGCAAGGCCTTTGTGGGCTATGACGTCACTCCATGAACACAACACTACATGGGAAGGCTGTGGCCTTCGCTTTCCTGCTAGAAACCACAGCCTGTGCACCATACCTGCACCTCCTCAAAAATGGTTGCCTGCTCCTGATTAGTCAGTGTTGTCAGGTGCTTCTGGAGTTCTAATTTGGTTTTGGAAGAATTCATTCCTGTTAAGAGAAGAGAGATGTGATGAAATTACTTACAAATCATGAGTTACAGTCAGCTTCCTCCACACTCACTCCCTTCACCTTTCCCCAAATTCAGGCTGTCCAGCCTTTAAAGAACCTGCAATGATGGCGTCATCATCTCCTACCTGTGCTCTGATGTGTGAGGCACTGGATAGGAAGCACTGATACCCATCAGCTCATTTGCTCCCTAAACCAACCTGATAAGATAGGATGTTGCTGTCCTTCCATCACAGTGAGGGAACTGAAGCCCACAGAGCTTGTAGAATTTCCAAAGCCCACACACCAGTACTCTAAATCAGGTTTTCATGGTTCCAAATTATTTTATCCCCAAGACACTTGATACAATCAGAATATCTTCAGAGAATAATAATTCTCATGATATTTATACCTGAACATGAAAACTTTTCCTTACGGAAGAATAACTAGCACTCAGTTAAATAACTGACCCACATTAGTATCTTGTATGTTAGGTTCCTTTCACATAAAAGTAACTCATGTACCTAAGAATTCTCCTTTTACCCTTATATGCTTATCAAGTCTTAAAACCATTTCATTAACATTATAAAGAACTTTGAGGAAAACTTATACAAATAAAATCCCCCTGGTAAAATAGTAGTGCCCATCAAAATGTTATAATTAAGAAGTCCCATCTCCATGTGAATAGAGTTTAGGTCCTGTTTTGTCTTTTCTTGATGTCCAGAGATAAATGTCACATAAGATGAGAAGACTAAGAATAAAGGAATTTGCTAACCCAACTGCCTTGGGGAAAGAACCTGCTGCTGGTTCCCTTTCCTCTGAGGGGAGCACCCTTTCCTCAAGCCATCCTAAGGAGGGACCTCAAGCAGGAGCTGGGGCAGTTCTGGGCTGAAGAGCAGAGTGGATACTCCTACAGGCTGAAGATCACAGGGAGGAAACCCTGTCATACCAGGGACTTGCCTGGAGGGACTTGGAAATCAGACATTCATTTTACAGCCAAATTTGTTGACGTCTAAGAAGCCTGGTAACTGTCAAGAGTCAGGAGGCCCAGAAATAGCCAGCCTGGCCCAGCCACTGTTCTCCCTTCCCAAGCAGCCACAGGCAGAGCCAGCCCTTCTAATAGTCCACACTGCAACAGACTCCTATTCCAACTGCTGCAGTAATGTCTACTTCCAGAATTGTTCCTTCCTCTCATTTTTTAACCAAACATAAGCCTTAAAAAGGGCACCATTAGAACAATCAGTATTACATTATTGAACATTTCATATGCATTTTCTCATTTAATCTTCAAATAATTGTTGACATAAGCCTACTTTTCTAGTAATCCTCAGGTAGAGATGAAAAAACTGAGGTTTAGCAAAGTCAAGTATTTTTTCCAAAGTCATTAACTAAACAAGGGACAAAGTGAGAATCTGAACCATGTCAGCCTCCAGACACCAGTCTTGCACTTCAATGCCTCCCTGATCAGCAGAGCCATGTCACCTGACACAGGCGGCTTCCACACAAAAGTGGATTCAGAGTTGGCTTAAGGTGTTAGAAGGATAGGTAGCTTGGTCAGAGCATAACATGCATACTCTCTGGCCTGCAGTCAGCTAAGGAAAGCCAGCGAAGCAGATACCAGGCTTTACTGTATACTAAAATACTGTGGCAAAATAATGCCTAAACTTATGAATACAATAATCATTTAGTAATCACTAAGAAAAATCCTCCCCAAATATGGAAGAAGTCTCTGACAAAGTCTAAGCATTCTATTTTGGAAATACTATATCGTTTGGTGAAACAGTCACAAAGAGGAAAAAACCCTAAAGTCTAAACAGAGTGAAACTGAGCATTCATTTGGCCTGGCACAGAGGTGCACCAAGTAATCCTAGCACCCTGGGAAGCTGAGACAAGAGGATTGAAAGTTTGAACCCAGCCTGGGAAACTTAGTAAGACCCAGCTGCACATTAAAATTTTTTTTAAAAGGGCTGTAGATGTACCCCAGTTTGAAACCCCTAGGTTTAATTCCAAGTCCCACCAAAATAAAGGGGAAAAAAGTAAAGGCTTGACAACTCTGGACAAAATCATAAATGTGGCCTCTCCTCATTCACCAGATATGAAGGATCATCCTACCAGACCTAGCCTGATGCAGGGTGCCTCAATTCGTCAGGTCCTTCCTGCCCTATGTCAAGCCAGGTGATCCCACAAAGGTCTCCTCACCTTCAGCCACTCCGGCATCCATGCTGATACCATCTCCTCACAGGGACCCATGTGATGCCAAGGGGGGATAGGGAGCAAGGAACAAATCAGAAAAACGTTGTTGAGGGAATCCCCTTATCCGAGAGGCTGCTCACACTGCCAGCCAGTGCTGAAAAGATCTTACTAAATGAAGCTCTGGTGAATGACTGCTCTCAGAGCAAAAGAAAGCCTCAGTCTAGATTTTTTTGAGAAAGTATTAATTTTATTAATCACCTAAATGGTCTAACTTAAAAAAAAAAGCAAAATACAATCTGAATGCAACCAACACTTGTATAGTTGTACAGCTCAAGCCGAGAACAGAGTGCAGCCACCCCCTTGCAGGTTGTACATGCACAGCAGAGCGGCATGTCTGGTGTCATGGACACAACAGAGTACTTACTTATTCTAGTTTACTGATTCTGGGGCTTAGCCTGACATGCGGTGGTTGAGGAAACATGGGGTATGAGTCTCGCTTCTTGAGGCCACATCAATGGGCCTGTGGTGTTCCTCATCAGACAGTAACTTCCTGTTGGGACTATCCTTATAGTGAACTTCAGTAAATCACTTCATTCTACTTATTAAGCAGGAAACAGCAGAAAGCAAAGGACTCCCAAACTAGCCATAAAGTGATTAGCATCCCCTCAACTGAGGGTGCCCTCAAGAGTATCCCACCTATGCCCTTGGAAACCGTCCATCCTGTAAGTGACACATCCCTCCCCACACTTTTAGCCTGTTGGATGGCTGGTTTTTACATTAGTAGAGCTTTCTGCTTTGGTTGTTTTGTTTTATAAAACATGAATTAAATGATTATTTCCAAAACTGCAGAAGCAAAATCCCTAGCTTGATTAAACTTTCAAACTATAACTTTCTGAAAACTCAGCCAAACCAAACAAAGATTTATCAAGGGGAACTCTGGACTCACTCCAGTTCTGCAGATCAGGATCCACTTTATCTTCAAGGCCAAAGTCATTGCTGGCTTCTTAATGAACTCTTAAGGGACCTTTCTGTCATCATTTACCTTATCTTGACAACCATTAAGGAAAGGGTTAGTGATCCCCTCAGTTGTGATCTCTAGTTAAAACCGGACTTTCCCAGATATGTTTCATATGTCAGCAAAACACAGTCTAAAATATTAATCATGTTCACTTTAAAGAGCACTGTAATGCCACAAATGAACCTTCCCAGACCTTAAAATGTCAACTATTTTATTTTAAAAAGGAATCAGACACTACTTCACATCCATCTGGATGGCTACCACTAAAAACAACAAAAGAATGTTGGTGAGAATATGGAGAAATTGGAAATGTCCTGTTGTATTGACAATGGAACTGCAGAATAGTAAAACTGTTACAGAAAAATGTGGCTGTTCCTATAAACTTAAACATAATTTCCATTTGATCCAATAATATCACTTCTTTGTATACACACAAAAGAACTAAAAGCAAAAACTTGGACATTTATACAGCAACATTATTTACCAAAAGATGGAAGCAACCAAAATGGCCATCAATGGATAAATAAACAAAATGTGGTATATACACATAAGGGAATATTATTCTGCCTTAAAAAATAAATTCTGACATGTGCCACAACATAAATGCACCTAGAGGACATTATGCTAAGTGAAATAAGCCGAAAACAAGAGGATGGATATTCTATAATTTCAATTATATGTAGTACCTAAAACAGTCCAATTCATAGAAACAGAAAAGTAAATGGTGGTTGCCAGAGAGTGGGGTAAAGGAGGAAAGGGGAGTTAGCGAATAATGAGTTGTGATTTGGGAAGATTAAGAAGTTCTGGGGATACATAGAGGTGATGATTACACACTTGTAGACTGACATAACACCACTACACCATGAGCTTAAAAAACTTAACACGAGAAGCTGAGCATGACATGCATGCCTGTCATTGCAGTTACTTGAGAGGCTGAAGCAGGACTGCAAATGTGAAGGCAGCTCTAGCAACTCAGCTCCGCAACTCATCCTATCTCAAAAATAAAAAGGGTTGGGGATGTAGCTCAGTGCCCCCTGGGTTCAATCTCAAGTACCACCAAAAGTAAATAAATAAATAAAAACTTAAAATTGTAAACTTTATATTATGTATATTTTTACAATTATTAGAAAGGAAAAATCAGACCTAAACGTCAGTTAACTTTTCATTACAAACTTGTAGCATATAGGTATTCTAGATACAAGGGAAATGGTCAAATCTTTTTCTTTTCATAATAACATGGGTGGTTTACATTTTTTAAAAAACACATAAAAAAGTTTTATGAATGAAACAAAGTACAAAATCAAAAAGAGAGATATAAACCTTCCCAAATTCCCCCAGAGCAGCATCAAAATGATGTACTGTGACCTCACCCTGGTTTCCACCCTGCTCTCCCACAAGAAGAGTCCTGCCCAGGAGGGGCCTCCTCCACTCTAAAGGTTCAGGCTGGCCCCTCAGGCTCAGAATTTGCTAAAAATCAGGAGTTAGCAGGCATCCTCCCCTAGCATGGCATTGTTCTGGAAAGATAGGGCTGTTGAGGTAACAGCAAGGGCTTTCCCACCTGGGATCAGTTCCCAGATTCATTAGATACTAGCTTATTCCTAGATGTCTCTAATCCCCATTTATATATAAAATATGCAAAAATAAGTAGTCCCTTTTCTTCCCACCTGTGAGGAAGTTTAAATGGATAACAAATGTGAAAGAAAGCACCTAGCACAGTGCTTAGCATCTTAAGGTATTCAATAAATATTAGCTGAAAATCATAGCACTTTTATTAGGGTTTTTCCCTAAGATCCATTTCTAGAGATCATGGTCAGTACAGTCACCATTTCCTTTATCATCACTCATTCACTCCGCACCTGCAAGTGTCTTCTGCCCACCTCTCCATTAGAACTGTACTGGCAGAGGTCACCAATGGCCTTCTGATGGAAAACCCTAGTGGTAACTCTGCAGGTTCTCTCTTACTAGAACTCCCTGTAGTGGCCACAACCCTGACAGACATTACTGGTTTGGTGACCTCTGCTTCCATGACTCCTCCACTACTGCTGGAGTAGCCAGAGGGGCCATGGCAGAAGTGGGGCAAGGGTCTTATCCTCAGCCCCCAGCAAAACCTCAGACACACAAAAGGCATCTGCTACATGGTCAGAGCTCACCTATGACCTGACCTGTGTCTCACGGGATCCTTGGTCAGGTGGCGCCCTGCAGCAAATGCCACCACCTAATCAGGACTCTCTGGCCTCTTCAGCTCCCACCATGCACAGTGGATGGTGCCCCACTCACCCTCTATCCTCTCACAGAGCTTGTGCAGACCCTGCAAGGGGCAGGCCTCACACAGCTGGGATGGAGCCTTCGCTGTCTGCTGCACTGCAGCCACTGTGAAAGCCTGCTTCAGGGTCATCATGATTTCGTCAACCTAATGGAAGAGAAGAGAAATTATAGCCAGCAACAAGTCAACTTCAGGTGAGTGGGCTGAAATGTCAGGAATCTATGGAAGAAACAGTAACAAGTTTTTTCTGGACTATTCTACACAGGTTAGCAAGATAATAATGGCAATAACTGCTAGACTTACTATCTGAGAAAATTACCTGGAGGCTTAAAGCTCTTACAGAAGATAATGCAAAAGGAAGAAATATAATCAAAATATAAATTAAACACTGAGTAAAAAGCAAACTCTTTTGATCAAAAGTCCAGAATTATTTTTAAAAACCAAATAGTACCAGAGGGTGAGAGTGAGCATATTCTTCATAAATAACGAAACCTCAAACCCACGTTAAGTCTCAGATGTGTATGTACTGGCTAGTTATCAGTTACTGAGGGAAGAATTAAATAATGGTACATCATCCAGGTTATGTAGTTTTTCAGAAGGCAGAAAAACGAGTGAGGCTGAAGTTCCTTGTCCGTAAGGTACCGAGATAAGATGGGCTCATCCTCTCACCAGAGCTTCATTTGCGCACTGGAACACGTAGCAGACAAAATGAAAGCCGCCACCACCTGTAGACTCCCGGCAGATAAACCCAAAGTGGTCCACGTGTCTGATGCCCTGTGGATGGTGGGGGAAGGGGAGAGAGGCAGTGTGAGTCAGATCCGGCAGAAGCACCACTGCCAGAAACCTAAAAGGGCCCACAGTCCAAAGGAGTACTAGTAAATTACCACTTCCGCAGATTTTAAAATTTTAAAAAGATCTCTCAGATATGAAGAGTAACATTATCCTACTAAAATGTTATTTAGATTACTTCAAGAGAACTAAGGTTTGAAAATTCAAGTTCTAATGCTCATTTTAGCACTAAAAGAAAACAAAGAAAGCTGACCCCCAAAAAAAACAACTTTTCCTAGGCAGAATTCAAAACTATGTGAAAGAGCAAAGACTGATGAGAGATAAATGAAATACATCTGTACACACATGAACATTCATGCCTGTACACAAACTCAGACACACAAAGGCTAAAAAAATACTTAAAACCTATTTGTCCTCTGAAAACAAACAACAGATGAATATTAAAGTAGAATGCTATGGACAATGAAAAAAGAATTATAAATATACAAAGCAGAGACACTTTTAAACACAAGATACAAGGCCAAGGCTCTGGCATAGCTTCCTAAGAGATCTTAAATATTATGTAAATGTGTTTGGAAAGCATCAGCTAACAGAAGCGACCCCAGTACATATAAAGCCTCTCCTATAAACACTGACACAATGAGGTCTTCTGAAAGCTTCATGAGAGCTGACAGCTGGAAATTCAAGCAATCATAAACTTGCAAACTTGACTAGTTAGGAAATAGTAGCTATCACATTAAAAATCAAATACTTAACATGAGTATTTCAACACACATAGAAGAAAACCAAGGCAACATTCTGTGGATAATACTTTTCCTGACCAATATTTTCCAATAAACAATCACTGTTACATTTTGGTATCTCAAATAATGTTTCCTTATAGCAAATTAAGCATATGCTAGGACCTACTGCTTAAGGAGAAATATGATTTAGGAAAACATCTTTGAAAATGACTCCCTGTTACATTGGTGAAGAAAAATATTACTATTTTTCAAATTTTAAAAGAAAAATCCCTTTTTGAATACTTAAGTAGGTCACATTATAAATCAAACATTCAGATTTTTATTATCTTATTAATAATGGAAATTAAGTTAGAGTTTAAAAAACAGCCACATATAACCTTAAGTGATCTCATATTTGTTAGCATAATCCTAAGTGAAACTTTCACAACTCATAGTTGGCAGATTCCTGCAAAATTCCTCTGTGAAACTACCCGGCAGATTCTCAATATAGAGAATTTCAAATAGACACTGCATTCTCAGCAAAGCATCCTTAAAGATAAACACTAATATATTTTAAGGAAGAAGAAGCAATGATGATTCACACTACAAAAGTTACAAATTTTTGTAATGTAGAAATCAGCCAGGTGTGATGGCACAGGCCTACAATCCCAGCTACTGGGGAGGTTAAATTCAAAGGCAGCACGGGCAACTTGGTGAGGTCCTATTTCAATAAAATAAAAAGGGCAGGCTGCCCACACCGCTCAGGGCACATAGCTTGCCTAGCATACATGAAGCTCTGGGCTCAATCTCAGAACTATAAAAATAAAACATTTTTGTATGTATGTTTAAATATGTGTAAGAGATACACTAACATTCCTAATATAACGTGACTTGGAAACACTATCACCAGTAACCGAGAAAAGAAAAGTAGATCTATTTTTTCCAGTATGTTGTTGAGAACAAAATCCTTAATTTCAAAATTATATTTATAATTTGCTTTAAACTAAAGGAGGGAAAAATGTAAAAACCACAAATTAAGTACTTAGAAAATACTCACTATGTTACAATTTTAGCATTTGTTGTATAACAGAGAGTAACAGAATTATTTTTAAAAATTCAATTGTAGTTGAAACAATAACCAGTCTCCATTTACCTGAGAGCAAAAGGATATCTCCTTAAAATTTTTCTCCAATGCTATTTTTTTGGTGTCAGGACTGATGAGGTAAACTTCAGATTGGCCGATCTTAAAAGATAAACAGAGAGACTAGTTTCTCATGAAAGTTGCATTTAAGTTTACTATACATATTTCTCATGTCATGACCAATGTAAATATACAGGAAAGAGGGCAAGCTCTCACAAAATTATATGCCCTTGTAGAAAATCACGTCTAGGGTTAGATGTTAGGTGACACCAGACAACCACAGTCATTCATTCTCATGCATACAGCTGCAGCCTTCTGAGGGAAGGGACCACATATTCAAAAGCTAGCAGTGAAACCTCAGCACCACACCCCTTATAAGGAAGTGCGCTTGCTACATCAGTGAATAACCCAGAAAACAAGTTTCTCTTTAAAATTTCCAAAACATTTTCTAATGATTATTTTTGAAACTACTGCCGAAATAGTCTACCATTTTCACAGCACACACAATGTTCTAAGCATTCACATATACCGCTACTTACCTAACCCTAAAGTTAGAACATGAGCATGAGTAAACTATGTCCTATTGTCTATGAACACTGGGAAGACCTCTACTACAGCAGAGTGCTGTGTGCTGCCCCCTCCAGTTAACTGTGCGTGACTGGCCACCACAGGACATTCCCCGGGTACCATGCCTCCACACTGCTGGGCCCTTGGTTCCTGTGAGCACCACTTTCTATTCTACCATTTCAATTTCTTGGGGAGTCAAGTAATCAGAGGTCATCTCACATGCTGAGGCTGTCACTGTAACTCAGAGTCCCTTCTGCTCTAAAACTCTTTGCACCTTAATGTGGCATACAAACCAGGTATACAATCGCACTGGATGGAAAGCAGAGTACGGATCAGTTACACTCTCAATAAGGGGAACCCGCAAACATTGTCTACGGCATGGGTTTTACACTTTAAAAAGTTTTTGCTCACTATTTCTTCACTATATTCCAGTCAGTTGTGCCTGACAGGCTTTTTAACCCTCTCTCATGGAAATAAAGTATGATAAAAACTGACATCTTTAAAATGCAGTATTTTTCTAAATTAGCCTAGACTACATGTCTCTGTACAGTTACAGACCAATTTAGTGGTCCCCTTATATGAAAACAATGACCTTGGAAAATGAAAACAATGACCTCGATAGAGGTCAGTGCTTTTACCTTTACCTACATAATGAAGATAATCCTTATTTGTTTTTAAAAAGAATCACTGAAAGTTTCATAATGAAAAGTTCCTCCAGGTATTCTTATTTGGTTGTGGCTGAGCTATAGAAAATAAATCAGAATTTAAACTGGGGCAGAGCCTGAGAGTCCTCTCACATCCCACCACTTTGTGCCATTGGCTTGACAGTCTGAGGGCCTCACACCTGCCACTTCTCCCCGTCCCCACTGCCTTCACATTCCATGCTCCCCATCTCCTACCTGGACACTGTGATGGCTTCCTAATCTTTTCCTGTTTCTCCCTGGAATACATCCCTGTTCTGTAACCAAAGCCATTTTACACAGTGTTTTAAACCTTTCAGTGATTACCTGCTGGTTCCTCTTAGCAAAGCCCTGCCCTGTTTCCATCCTTACCTACTTTCCTCTAGGTGCCATTACCTGGCCTTCGCCCTTACCCAGCAAGTGTCCACTGGCGCCTCCTACAACATGTGCCAGGCTGAGCTCTGGCACAGTGTTGATGGCAGACACAAACCTATACCTTCACAAAGCCCAACTTCTTGGGGGTATATGGGACACAAAATACTTGTTTATTTATAATTATATCAGATGGGGATGAGCACCATGGAGAAAAGTTAAACAAAGTGGGAATTTGGCCTCACTAGCAGTTCATTTCTCCATGTTAACTAAATGCAGAGACTTATAGGCAATGAGGAGGCAAGACCTGGGACAACCAAGGGAATCCTGCAAGCAAAGAAAACACCAAGAACAATCACTATCTGGATCACTATCTGATCACTAACTGAATTTTAAAACTGCACCCATCCACAAGGGTTAACTTCAGTGGCCAACTTCCCTACTCTTGCCACTTCACTGCCTTGGGTTAAGCATAAAAATGATAAATTACATTTCAGGTACTTCTGCTCATTACAGAGAGTCAGCATTATGCCAAAGAGGCAGAGAGAAGGCCAAGGAAAAACCAGTATATAAAATATTTTCCACCTAGAGATTTTGTTGAAATACATTACCCTAAGTTAATATACATTATTAAAAATTTCTTTTGTGGCCTCTCTTACCTAGTGCAGCTGTTCTTTCCACATTGAAAATGTGTGTTTACAACCATGAGATGTAGGAGGAAGATTAAAAAACTGTACAAGGACAGTGGATGGATTCCAGTATGTTCCCTCTAATGATTTTAAAGGCTAATGTAAGGATTTTATCCTGAGAAAATTACCCATATAAAAATATATGGATTCAAGCATAAACTCAAAGGCATTTACGAAGATCTACTCAATAAGGCAGCTTCTCTAGAACACACATCTCAGAGGCTGCTGATGAATGCAGGGCTGCATAATATTTTACCGTGAATAGCATAGTTCGATTTTCCTCAATGTCTGTGGGCTGCACGATATGGTGCCCGCTAATCAAGTGGTTCTCGATGTCATTCTCCTCGAAGGAGCTGAAGAAGCTGCAGCTATGCAGGCCGCCATCCTGGAACTCCCGCCTGTAGGCCAGTGAGCGCAGCCCTGGCTGCGACAAGGACTTGCGCATGGGCCGGTGGGGGGGGCCGGGCGAAGGGACCCCATCAGCAAGGGGTGTGGGACCCTGCGAGGGTGGCTCCCCATCAGCCCTCAGGCTGCAGCTGACATGGTTGAACTTCTCGATGCACTCATCGATCAGGGCCGGTGGGGCCTTCTTGTGCGCCACTGTCACTCGGCCACAGAAGAGGACCTCGAACTTCTTGGCAAATGTGTCATCGAACTCAGATGGGCAGCGCAGCTCCCCCTGGCGGGCGATCTTCCCGGCCTGGCGGATGGAGCTGATGATCTCAGGCACCTGCAGGGAAGCAGCATGTTACTGGGTCCACAGGGGTCCGTGAGCTCCCTGGGACCCGGCCGGACCCCCACACTCTCCATAGGCACCTAAGACGCCTTTCGCCTTTCAGGCGGAAAACCTGCAACCTCCACAGCAGTACTGACCAAACTTTTCATTTCTGATGTAAATATCACAGATGAAAAGACTGTGCCACAGAGTTTGTCCTGCTCTGATGTCCTCCCTACTACTACCACCCTCTAGTTCATCCTGACGGGCTGGGTTCACCAAGGCAGTGTGTACATGAAGATGAACCCACACTGCACGGCTTGGACGAGGAGCAGGCCCGACACTAGGTTTAGTATTCACAGCTGATGAGAATGAGGCAGGCACACGAATTTGATCTTCAATATGCAGGGCCCAGTCATTGTTCTGATCTAATGCCTATACTAGCACATTTTTCTACATGAGGGAAATTCAGTTGATAGCTCGATAATTTCTACTTAACATCACAGAGGGAGAAACACGCCAGCCTCCCTTCCGATTCAGGTTAAAGGATCAATGTGTAGCACAGTAATGGGAGGTGGTCTTAGATTCTTAAAAGTACGTTGTGTTTTCTGTATCTATGACATAATTCCCAAAAGCCAAAGACTCAATAGACTTTTCTCTTTGTTGTTAAATATCAAGCATACCACCCTTCTGAGCCAGGCACAACACACACCTGTAATCTAAGCTACTCAGGAGACTGAGCCAGAATTGCAAGTTCAAAGCCAGCCTGAGCAACTCAGTAAGATATAATTTCCAAAAAAAAATTTTAAGAAGAGAGCCGGGGATTTAGCTCAGCGGTTCCACCACCTGCCTTACAAGCGCATGTACCCGAGTCTGATCCCCGGTACCAAAAAATAATAATAATAATGATAATAATTTTTTAAGAAGAAAATAATCTTTCTGCCATAAAGATTAGGATATAGCCTCTGTAATCGCTTCTCTGCCTTTTGGCTAAGATCAAGTGTAGGATATAGCCTCTCAAACTATTTTATATAAAGAATCAAAGAATCTGTAGAGATATTTTATTCTTTAAATAATTTCTGAAACATAAGACCTAAATAATATTTAATAAAAATATTAAAAACATAAGACCTAAATAATATTTAATTTTAATTTTTAAAAAATTCAAGCCACGCATGGTGGCACACACCTGTAACTCCAGCACTTGGGAAGCCAAGGCAGGAAGACCATAGTGAGTTCGAGACCAGACTGGGCTACACAGTGAGATCAAGACCAGCTTGTACTACACAATGAGAGACTGTCTCAAAAAACTGAAAAAAAACCTCAAAATGTCAACAGATAACAAGCATCTATGTACACTGATTATTGCTTATGCTCTGGCTCACAACTACACTGCCAAATAATTACGCATCATGTGGAGGCCCAAAACTGCTAATAAAGAAGATAGGACAGAGAAAAGAGAGAAGTCTAGCTTTCATTCCCACCTTTGCCAATAATTCACTATGGACTTTGGCAAAAACTGGACCAAGCACACTGGCCCATGTCTATAATCCCCTCCCCTTGGAGGCTGAGAGTAAGATTCTGCAAGTTCAAAGCCAGTTTGGGCTGCATAGTAAGTTCAAAGTTAGTATGGACTATATAGCAAGACCCAGTATCAAAACACAAAAGACAAAACTAAACTAAACTAAACAGCTACAGTTTCTCTTTGGGAGCGATGCTTATAAGATCATAAGATTTTTTTTCCCCAGGGTAAAATGGTTTTTATGTAGTAAAAAAGTAATTTTTCATACCAAAATAGCTAAATACAGGCAAAGAACTACCATGATTCTAAGTAACCATGTGAGGTCATTTTATGAGGAATCACATGAATCTTCCAATTAATCCTACTCTGAACAGAACAGTTGAAGTTTATTCAGCCCTTTGTCTTGTTAAAATACTTGATGTTTCTATGTGCTGTCTTCCACTGCATCTGAAGTAAGCAATAGTGTCTCTTATTACACATGGAAGTGGAGAGAAAATGTGTGAAGTCACAGGAATTTATAGCAACTCAGCAGTAAATAGAACAAACACAAAATAGAACACTTGACTGTTCCCTTACTTCCCAAGGTCAGAAGCAGCTGAAGTCTATACCATACCCTGGTCAGAGTTGAGGCTGTAGTCGTTTACCAACCACTGATCTCCAGAATGTTAGACACAATCTAAGACAGACACACTTCACTCAGTAAAAGACCGAAACCAATTCTTCTGTGATGAGTCTTGCTATTCAGGTACAAATTAGCTCAAACCTTATCAGTGAACAGATTAAAGTATACCCTACCTTTCAGAGTTATTCAAGTATATTAAGAGATTAAACTTTATCTATAAATTGTAACTTTATTGATAAGTTCAGGGTTTTTTTTGCTTTTGTCAGAACAGACCTGGAGTGCTGTTTCTCAAAAAGAATAGGCACAAGGTCCACTGGTGATGAGATCCTGAATTCCCCATCCTTTGTAACTCTGCCCTACACTCACTTACACTGACTTTTTACACAGGGGAATTCAGCCCTTTACTTCATTTTATTTCCAAACATTTTTCTAGGTATCTCTAGATGCCACACTAGGGACTCACCTGAGAGGAATTTGGATGTGTGCATGAGCCCCGGGGGCCAGGCAGCTTCAGACAGGATCACTGACAATGATGCAGGTGGCCTATGCTGGGAACCTGAACTAAGAATCAGGCACTGAAGACTCAGACACCCTGAACAAACAGGTTTTAGCAGACAGAAACCAAAGGTTGGTGATGACCCGGATGGGAGAGCTGAGTCCTGAGGATTACACTCAGTTCCTAGAGCTCTAGAAAGGACACTCATCTTGAAGACAGGGAGAGTAGTTGACTGAGGATAGGCTAAGGGCTGATACCATTGGGCTGGAGGTGGAAGTTCGTACAGATACATTAAAAAGAAGTAAGGGGGAAAATCAGAAATATAAGCAAAAAAAGAAAATACTAACCCCCCCAAATAAACAACTGAAAAATGTCAGGGTCATGCTTTATCTAGACTTTAAGAACATATAACTCAAGTTACGATATTTATGGCAAATAAACAGATCCCTTGGGCTCAAATACAATGAGGCAGGTAGAGGTTATTCTTATTGATAAGATCTGGGTATTTTCCATGAAAATCTAATTTAGTTTAGTCAAAGCAGTTAATACCTGCGTCATTTCAGTCTGCAGATAAGCAGATAAAGTAAATCAACACAACTGCAAAAAAGTCTGAGAAACACCTTAGTGGAATAAATTCAGCAATGGTTTGGGTTTGGTTTTAATTCTTATACACAGGAATAACAAAAATGTTACATAATTAAGATCAATTATCAACTCCCATGATAAATATAATAATATACTATGAACACGTGCTACATACATAACAAAATACATAACAAAACAAGAAAAAAAAACAACTAATGAAGAAACAGGCCTATTTGATACATAAAAACTGGGGATGTGGTTCAGTGATACAAGGCTTGCTTAGTGTATGCAGGGCCCCGGCACTGAGCCCCAGCACTTTACCAACCCCCCAATTACTAAACTCTTTTGTCAACTTACACTAATGCTCAAATTTGAAAGGAAATCTTTACCTTGTTTACAACCAAGAGAGGCTTCTACTCAATTCACACATTAATAAATGCACATCAAAAGATGAAGTTTTTGGAGAATGGTGAATGCTATTGTACAAGGAGAAGAAAACTGATACTCCAGGAGAATTAGAAATACTCACTTCTGTAAATATAAAGCCCTTACTAAAGCATTTCTTTTTAAGGGATTTAGGGATTTAAGGAATTAATTATAAATATACTGCAAGTGTATTTTATTCACAAGGATTTAGGAAAGAGTTCCTGAAACAGTATTGAGAACAAAACAAAACAAAAAAAAAAAA